AATTTTTCTAATGCTTTGTTAAAAACAATCAAGTTAACATATTCTAATACCCTTCACTTTTTTAATCCTTTAGCCTGGACCACAGGAGAGTAGTGTTGGAAGGGATCCCAGAAGGTCATCTAGTTCAGCCCCCTGCACAAAGCCAGATCACTCTTTAAGGATGTTAAGTAAAAGGATATTTACTTTAACTCTGAAGAGTTTGCCTATATTTTTCTGTTCTTTCTATCAAACCCCAAAGAAGAGGTCACTTGTTGTACCAAAAAAGAAAAACTGCAATGATTTCCCAAAGACTTACATGAAAAGAGGAGTCAAAATAAGAGACAATTATAGAAATAAATGTGCCTCTTGATTTGGATCTGTGGAAACTATTATAGTTGCAATCTAACGTGCCTTTTGCAATCTGCATTTAACTATGTTTTTTAAATTTGTCATGCGAAATCAGTGGTCTCCAACCTTTTTAAAGGTGAAGATCACTTTTTGAAATAAAGGGTAACCCAGAATCTACTGCCCCCCACCCCCCACCACACCACCTTGCCCTGCCCTCCCCACACTGGGCTGGGTCAGGAGCACCCTGCTGGGATCAGCAATGTAGCGCTCTTCTGTTTCCTGGTGCTGCCTGGGCTTACTCCTGCCCAAGCCCCAGTAGTCTCCAAGCCCCAAGGGCTCTGGGCTGCTAGTTTCTGCCTTCCCAGCTCTTTTTCTCCCAGCCCCGCCCCAATCCCGGCCAGGTGGAGCTGCGTCCTCTCTGGCCTAGAGCTGTGGTGGGGCTGGTGTGGGGAGTGGCCAGCAAGCAGAGGCAGGTTCTCCCCTCATCTCTCAGCATTTCTGGGACCCTTCTCAGCCTCAGGATGCAGGCCTTGCTGCTCTGCCAAGGAGAAGCAGGTTTCAGCTGGAATCCAGCACTGGGAGCCGGATGGGGGAGGCTGGGAGGCAGAGCCTGGCAGGCATGGGGGCAAACAGTGCCTTGCTGGGCACAGCCTGCGTGGGGCAGAGCAGACTGCCCCAGAGCCCTGCTTCTTTCGCTCAGATGCAGGACAGATGCAGACAGGGAAGTCCTGGAACAGGGTTGGGTCCCAGCCAACCTCCCAAAGTAGAATGTTCACTTCCAGTGACATACTAAACTTATAATTCATAAACCCTCAGTGTCAGAGAGGCTATGCATTTTTAACCACTTTAAAAGAAGAAGGGAGAACCTGTCAGCTGTTGCAACATAACTATTGTATCTGTATGCTCCTATGACAATACAAACTAGCTAAATTGCTAAAATTTGAATCCTGAATGAAACTGGATTAACCTTGCAATGTTTTTGTTATGCTTGCATTGCTACAGGATCATGTGGACATAACAGGTACATCATAACAGATTATATCAGTATTATTTGATATTGATACAATTGATATGTCTGTATATACTTATACTTATTTTAGGACAAGGCATTAGTTAATAATAATGAGCAAGAACATGTCCTCCATGGTAAAACAATCAAAAAGGAGCTTCTAGAAGAGAACCTCAGTGAAGATTCCCTTGTAAGTGTTTTCTCTATGTTATCCCATCATAAAAACTGAGTTTACCATACATTGAAAGCACAAATTTCGAAGATCTGCATGAATGTATGGAAGGCTGGGACACATCATGACTCTGTATCAATGCTAATATTTGACACACTGCTCCTTTTCTGTCATCTCTACCTGCCTTCCTGCACTCTGAAGCTAAGATAACACATTTTGGGGCAAATAACTTTGAAAATGTTGCCAAGTTCCAACAAGCCTAATTGAAAGATTTATTTTACATGTTATTTTACAGGGCACTTCTACACATCACCCTACAGCAATATAGCAACGAGCTACGTTGTCATACAGCGCACTATGGCGAGGTAGGAATCACACATGTCTATACATGATCTTGTGCTACATTGCAGTAGTGGTATGCTCCATGCTTATTGTGCACCGCTACGGTGACATAGCAGAGAAATCTAAGCATGCACTGCCCATGTGATGCAGTACCCACCAACTGCACCATACTTTACTACTTCCAAAAGGAAGTATGAAAGCATGGTGCCATAGCAACATAGTCATGAGGCAACTTGTAGACATGCCCAATGTATAGCTAAGTACCCTTCTTCCACTGTAGTCTTTGGGGGTTTTATTTGCAACTTCATTGTGAGCACCAACTTATTGGCTACTTGTACTTAATTAGATCAAAATTAAGTTTTTCTACAAACCTCCAAGTCTTTGCTTGAAAACGCAGTGCTTTGTGATAGTCAAAATTAATCCTTCCTCCCCCCTCCCTTTTAAGCCAAGGTAATATAAATATAAAATAAATGGTCCACACCTCGTTCAAATTTCAGTCGCTGATATAACTGAAACTGATCAACAGGTACCAAACAGGCAATCTGAAAGGAAAAACATAGGAAAAAATGTTAGAGTATGACTCTTTTGAGTATAATCTTAAATCAACTTTCCTTTTCTACTGTCCTTCCCACCCCCCACAAATATTACTCAACACCTAGGCTTACAAGTCCAAAAGAAAGGAATGTCTTCTATTTCAGTCGCATGGTCTTGTAACTTAGCCCATGTATTTATTACCCTATATACGAACAGCATTCTAAGCATTTTAGAAACATATTTCCTGTAGATTTAGTTCTCATGGAAATTAACAGGCTGGATTGCTCTAGAGATTTAAATCTGCTATATATACACAAAGATGCAGCAAACATAGAAGTCTCCCTCATCTGTGTTTCTAAAGTTTGATGATAAGTGTTATCTCGAGGGATCAGAAAGTTGTTTTCTCTCTATTCACATTGCTTCCTTGGTCTTGTGGCTAAAATGGACAAGACCAGTGATGCTAGATTCTGCGATCCACATATTTGTGAATCCCACTTCCTGGGATATTAACTGAAGTCACTAAACCCATTTCACATCATGAAGGTAACTAAAAAGGTGTGTGTGTGTGTGTGTGTGTGTGTGTGTGTGTGTGTGTGTGTGTGTGTGTGTGTGTGTGTGTGTGTGTGTGTGTGTGTGTGTGTGTGT